TGGTCCATGATGCAGCTCTGACTGGTCATGGTCCATGATGCAGCTCTGACTGGTCATGGTCCATGATGCAGCTCTACAGTCTGCAGGGTTCAAACACACACAATGATGAACAAACACACTAACAACATTTCTCTTACAATGTTATGGTTTTGTTTCAGCACCTAATAAGACCTCAGGTGAGAGCTTTCATTCACCAAGATGTTCAGGTGTTCAGGTGTTTAAATGTTCAGGTGTTTATATGTTCAGGTGTTTATATGTTCAGGTGTTTAAATGTTCAGGTGTTTATATGTTCAGGTGTTCAGGTGTTTATATGTTCAGGTGTTTATATGTTCAGGTGTTCAGGTATTCAGGTGTTTATGTGTTCAGGTGTTTATATGTTCAGGTGTTTATGTGTTCAGGTGTTTATATGTTCAGGTGTTTATATGTTCAGGTGTTTATATGTTCAGGTGTTTATATGTTCAGGTGTTTATATGTTCAGGTGTTCAGGTGTTTATATGTTCAGGTGTTTATATGTTCAGGTGTTTATATGTTCAGGTGTTCAGGTGTTTATGTGTTCAGGTGTTTATATGTTCAGGTGTTTATATGTACAGGTGTTTATATGTTCAGGTGTTCAGGTGTTTATATGTTCAGGTGTTTATATGTACAGGTGTTTATATGTTCAGGTGTTCAGGTGTTTATATGTTCAGGTGTTTATATGTACAGGTGTTTATATGTTCAGGTGTTCAGGTGTTTATATGTTCAGGTGTTTATATGTTCAGGTGTTCAGGTATTCAGGTGTTTATGTGTTCAGGTGTTTATATGTTCAGGTGTTTATGTGTTCAGGTGTTTATATGTTCAGGTGTTTATATGTTCAGGTGTTCAGGTATTCAGGTGTTCAGGTGACAGAAAGCACTGAGCTCAGTGTTTCCAGTTCAGGACAACACTGTAAACGATTGTAGACGAGCAGGTGAACTTTGATCTGTGTAAAATCAGAGACAAAGCTCCGCCCTCTTTGGTTTTCTCCCATTTCTGCTTTTTGGACTTTCATCATCGTCACTTTCAGTCAGTCAACAAAGAAACTGGTTCCAGAGGTTTTTACTTACAAAAGTCAGTCAGTGTGAAAATGAGCAGCAAACATCTGCAGACCAACGTTGACAGATGGATCAGAGAAAACCAAAACTCTTTCCTGCCTCCTGTGTGTAACAGACTCATGTGAGTAACAACAACGCTGTGTGTTGGATAAAAAACTGTGATTCAGAAAATAAAGCTAACAGTGATTGTTCTGGACGTGCAGTACGGCTGTAACTGCTCTAAACTCTGTTCTTCAGGCACTTCTCTCAGCTGCTCGTCATGTTTGTTGGAGGTCCAAACACCAGGAAGGATTATCACATAGAAGAAGGAGAGGAGGTAGAGATTAACCCTACAAACACACAGATTATATCCTTTAATCTGAACACCTCCACTCTGAGTCAGAGCTGCTTCTGATTCTGATTCTGGTTCTGGTTCTGGTTCTGGAGTCAGAACATCTGGTTAAAGCCTGGAAACACTGACTGACAGCAGCGACAAGCTCTCTGACCTTTGACTGTTTGTGTGTGTGTGTGTGTGTGTGTGTGTGTGTGTGTGTGTGTGTGTGTGT